CTTTTTGGGTGACGCCACCGGCGTTGGCAGTGGCGGCGATGGGCGTAGCGGGCGGTGGTGCTGGTTGGCCTTAATTACAGAGCAGCAACCTGCAGGCTGGGATGGAAACGCCTCGGTCGCGGCGGGGCTGCGCGGCTCTGAAGGGGTTAAACGGGTTAAATCTTATTTATCTGAATAGAACTGCGGGGCTGTTTTGCAGAATGCGCCAGCACAAATACCTATGGTTCGCTTTGACGTTACAATTTTTTGTTGGTTTCTTTACTTTAAATACTTGAACTGTTAGACCTTTTACTTTTTTCTCTGAGAAAGATGTATTTGTACCAGATTAGAAAAGCTAAACTGTTTCTTTACATTGAATAATCAGCCTGTCATGACAAATCTATCTCCTTCTGCATGAGTAGGTGCCAGTTTGACTAGCTTCTTTTAGGCGCACCCTGGGTTTTAAGCTGGATCCATGTGCATGACTGGCAGTGCATTTGTTGGGCCAGATCTAAGGAGCCAGAGAGCGTTCAGCTCCTTGTTGCCTACAAAAGAGCAGCCAGACAGCCAGCAAGAGGCCTTGGATGCGGCACAAGGTGACACTTACTGAGTCAGCCACTCTTTTATTATTTCTTTTTCCACATACATATATATTTTTTTTTCTTTCGGTAAACTAAGAATTTACCCTTTTCACAATGGCATAAGGAATTAAATTGTCAATGGGTTGCTTGTCTGAAGCCAGCACTCTTGACACCAGAAATACTGTACTGAGGGAGCCGTGTGTTTTGTGGAACAAAATAGGCGATAGTAAGAAAGCGATATCTACGTGGCTAACATTTCTTCAAAACAACTTCTGCTGAGGGAGTTGTTTTCCACATGGCAACCACACAGCCCCACTCTGCACACACACAGCCTTGTTTTGCTGGCCGGATTTGGAGTTTTAATTGCATTTTTTCCTGAAGCTACATTGTTGGTGATTCTTTCGGTGTGGGACTTCGGGCTACTCCTGTTTTCATTGCATCTATTCTCATTGTCGCCCAGCAGCGCGGGCTGTGAGCTCCTTGTCAGTGACGATGGTTTCATACTTCCTGCAATATTAAGTGTTTGAGGCAAATGTTTTCGTGGCAGCTGGCCGTTGGTAGTTGTGTAGGAAATGCCTAGGATGGTGGTGGCTTTCCTGCAGCTCTCCCTGCAACCCCACGAACACCGAGGCGCAGACCCAGCATGGTTTGGTTTGTGCTGTGCACATTTTGCTCGCTACCTGCGCATTTGGAGCTGTTCTGAAACGGCAGCAGAAACCAAACAGAAATGTGGTCCCCAGGGTGCTCAAAGATTTAATCTGACCAGATGGGACAAACTTGAGAAAGATTTTGACTTTCCACTCTGTTTTGCAATAAGAAAGGCTGATTTTTTTCCCCCGGTCCTTTCTTTGTTAGGAGAGGCAGAGATCAGGCCATCCCCAGAGAAATGAGCAGGTGTGGCCATTTACAAGCATGTCTGGTTATATTATAAACCAACATGAGAAAAGTTTGCAGTGGTTTGAAAAGAGCAGCTAAACAGTTTTAATGTTTCATCCCAAATCCTATTTACTCAAACAAGAGCCGATCGAGGCCGTGGTAGAACCCAGCCTGTCCAAACCTCTAAAGCTTGTGTAATTTTATTTTATTTTGTGTTATTTTTATTCCATCTTCTGTATGAACTGAATAGGTGCATTTTGGTAATCCTTGCCTCTGGACAAGCACAGAAGCCTTTTTCCTTCTGAATGGCTAATAGCAGAGCCGTCCTTCCTGCCTGCTGATGAAAGGTGCTGGGCAGTTCTTTCTCTTCAGTGTGAGGGCAGAGTGCTGTGATTTTGGACCCCTGTCCTGTCTGCCATGGTGCTGCTGTGATTTTGATACAGGACGTATTGCTGAGCCTAACCCCCTGTCTGTCAGCAGCTGAAGATTTTCCCCTTTAAATGCCAAGTAAACACAGCGCACGGGATTTTTATTTTTTTTTATGGGGAGAGGATAATTCACCATCAGACTGCTGGTGCAAGCTCAGGTCAGATCCTCCCAGCATTCTCACCGAGGCCAAGTGGAAGCCCTGGCAGAGGTTGTGGTCGGTGATGGTTTGTTGGGTTGGTTTTGAGATTGCGGGATTCCAGGCGCTTTCAGGGACGATGCTTTCAGGGTGGGGTTCCCCCCCCCCCCCCCTTGCAACCCCATCCAGCAGCGTTTCTGGTCGGAATTCACCTTCCCAACCCGGGGCGTCGCTTCTGACCCAAGCAGTGTCAGCGCCGGCGTCCGCGGCGAGTACAAAAGGGACCCCCTAACGGCGGCCGGGCCAGGGCGATTCTTAAGATCCAAAGGCTGCCGAAAGAACAATTGGATAAAGTTGGGGATTGGAGGAGCTCGGTTTTCTTGTGCCGGGGAAATGAAGCTCCAGCCCTTTCTCTTCCCATCCCCTTTAAAAGCAGAAGGCTGCTAGGGGGTTGTGGCTGTGTCAAAGCCGCTGGGATGCCACTGCTGATCACTTTAATTACTAGGACTAAGGAGGATAAAATTAAAAGTAGCACCATTGAAGCAGTGGAAGAAAGCTTGCCGAGATGGCGGTGAACTGTGAAATATAAAAATTGCATACCAACACATTTTTCTAGGAGGGAAACAAGGAATTACATTACTTATTCTTGAGGAGTTTGTCCTTAAATGGTGAAGTTTGCCTTGCTGTGCATCCGCCTGGCCGGTTTTTAGACCACTGCAAAGTAATTGGCGGGGAGGGACCGGGTGAACTTCTGTGTCCCTCCGGCATGGCTGGGATGGGGAGGGGTGGGATGGGAACAACTGCTGTGTGCGTGTTTGCAGCTCAGCTTCCTTTGCTGGTGCGGAGCTTCTCTCCGAGGGCTTTTAACTCCTCCGTCCCCTTGTTTCTTTCAGACGGGAGAATTCCCTGCTCGAACCTCTCCCCGCAATTTCGTGCGCAAAACCGAGGGTGGGCAATTAGCGATTTGCTTTTTAGTAATTGTTCTGCGACTCCACCTGAGCTGCTGTGGTTTACGCACTTTTTCTGCTCTAAATGCCGTTGTTTCTTCCAAAAGCCAGGCTCAGTAACCGGCGGTTCAGATACACGGGTTGAATTGAAGCCATAAATGTGCTGGGTTTCTCTTATCCGCTGGTGATGATTGGCTTAATCAGCACCAACACAAGGCGCAGTAATCTGTGTTTGCTCGCGATCCCCGGGATGCTAATGACCACGCCGTAATTCGGGAGGCAGCTCGGTGCAAGGAGAGGCCCTGCCTCAAAGCACCCGGACGCGGGGATGGGGCCGTCAAACCGGCCGGGGACCCACGGGTTCATTCATACCAGGAACGGCACGTCGGAGAGGATTGAGCAGTTTTATTCCACGTGAAATTAAATATAATTAATAGTAGCGAATAGCATGGGTTGGACTTGGAGCAGGCGCAGTGTCAGGTGTCGGGCCGGCTGGAAACGGCATCAAATGGATCTGTTAGAGGCACAGGAGCTTTCCAGCTGTATCCCCTCCCGAACCAGTCGCTGGTGGGACCGTTGCTCTGCGCCTTGCGGGCTGGAAAAGCAAACAAAGCGGCGCGCATGGCGCTGCAGGGCCGCGCAGCGGTGTCTGCCGGGGGAAGGACACGGGCAGGAGAGTAAATCACGGCCATCTGATGGGGAATCGGAGTTCTGTCACTCAGGCGCGAGATATTGTGCTGTGTCCATACGCTTTGTTTACCGTAGGGTTTTATGAGTTGTAACCTGCCCATGCAAGCTGTTAATGAGGCTAAATCTTGCTGCTTGAGGATTGAATTACAGCACACCTCTGGGCTAATGGTTATAAACAGAAAGTCCCATTAGGGCTGCATTCTGATTCATTCATTTGCATTTCTTCCATTGTGCCGAGAACAATGATGAGTAAATAGCTACAAACAAACAATTTACATGGAAATGGGTAAAATGTACCTAATTAGTATTTTGCGCTTGTTTTATTAACGATTGCTTCAACTAAATAGCACTTAGCAGAACCCTTAGCAGGTGTGGGGTGCCGGTGGGCAGCCTGCCGGGCCGGGCATCCAAAACTGGCACTTGAGCCACCCATTGAGCTGGCACTGCAAGACCTGTCCCCACCTGTTGGCCACACACTTATGGGCACATTGTACTTGGAGCCAAGGGCCGGCCAAGAGAGTGGGAACAGTCCTATTGGGCTTTTCCCAACCAAACCTTGAAAAATGAGTGTTTTGAAGATTGAGATAGGTTTACTTTCCTTAAACACATCCTCCTGCTGGTATTTTTTCCACCATAGTGTGCTTTTGAAACTTGGCTCATTTGCATAACTGAATTGTTGCAGTGCTTCTACAGTATTTCCGTGCTTTGGGAGAGCTGCGCTACCTGAAATGATTCCCATGGGATCTTTTCTTTGTTACTGGCCAAATGCCCCAACGATGTGTTTTAACATGAGGCAAAATGGTTTGCACTCTGGCATCTATTGCTCTTTTGTTCATTTTCTTTCATTCATTTCCCTTCCTTTATTTTATTAAAAGCATTTATCTGTTGAAGTCCGAGGGTCACATTCTTCTCCACACTGCAGATCTGGAAGGTGAGCTTGGTGGAAGGGCTAACCAGGAGCAACATCTGGCTTCTCCTGCCCGTGCAATGAGGGAATGCTACTGAAACAAGCAATTCAATTCAGTAAGGCCATTTCTGTAGCCACGGCGAGACTTTTGTAGTCACTGCATTGAGACAAAAGTTGCTGAGAATTTTTGTCAGTCTTTTTCTAGAGCATAGTTTGTAAATTCTTGTCAATAATTAGGTTTCTATTGCAATAATAATTCGAGGAGCGCTTTCAAAAAATCTGATTCTTAGCAGTCTTTAAAAATTGTGGTGTGACACCCAACTGATACCGAGCATCCTATTTATAATGTGGGCCAAGCACCGTGCTGTAAACCAGTTACTATCATGATGATCAGATTGAGAATGAAATTGCATTTCTGTCAATTACTGACTTGGCAACTGTTCAATATATCTTAGCAGCAAGATGAAGAGCGGCGTCGGCAGCTGAGAGAGCGAGCTCGTCAGCTAATAGCAGAAGCTCGATCTGGAGTGAAGATGTCAGAACTTCCTAGCTACACCGAAATGGCTGCAGAAAAGTTGAAAGAAAGGTCAAAGGCATCTGGAGGTGAGCTAAGGAACTTTGTATCTTATCCCCATGGCAACCTAGAAGCCAGAGAGGACCTTTTTGGGTGTCACTTTTATTCAGGCTTTGAAACCTTCTGTAGGTAATTGTTGTTCATCAGGTGCACGTGTCAACAGAGTGGCCGCAGATATGCGACCTGAGTCGGGGTTGTGGCATTTAATTCCCAACAATTAAAAGAAAAGCAGGTATGTGAATGGAAGAGAAAGTGTTCTGTGAACACGTAGCTCAACATATAATGGCCCATTTGTACAGATGGGTTATCGCCTATAGTTTCAGTAGCATTCCGTGATTATTGCTGAACATCTCTTCAGTGTGTAGCTTTTGTAGGAACGCAGGCATATCATTTGGGAAAAATGACATCAGAAGTACTTTAAGAGACTATTTTGTATCAGATGTGTTCAAAAGACTGCTTTGGAAGAAAATTTTAAAGGAGGTCTGTGGGAGGTAGGGGACAACAACCTTTTAATTTTAAATGGCAGTCTTTTGACACACCACTCTCCTTTACAGGTTTTGAGTTGTAATATTGCTATAATGTTATTAAACTGACTTTGAAATGTCATTAAAATTCAGATACCTGCCAGTGCTACGAGCTGGAGTAATGCAGTGTCACTCAAACTCAAATGGGTACTGAACACACGTTTCAGTAGAAGCTTCTTATTCTTTCAGTGTTTCCTACATGTTCTAAGGAGAGGTTGTGTTTCTCGTACTCACATGCAATTGTAAGCCAAGGTGTCAGCAAAATTTGGGTCTGCTTTTATAGTCCATGTAGGTTCAACAACAAAAATTTTTCAAATGCTTTATATGCATACATATGTAAATATATTCATATTGTACCCTAAATCCTTTGCTTCTGTTCCATTTAATACCAGAGAAAAAAGCAGTTGTGTTGTCTCTCTGTCTTCGGTTTTCTTCCCTTTGCCCCATAAATCAACACAATTCCTTTTTAGTGATAAGTAGGGAAATTAAATTAAATTCTTGATGGGGAGGAAGTAAGACTTTGTTACGAACCAACAAAAATGCCTTCTCAAAGTTTGCTCACATGAAAGAAACTGCAACCTACTGAAAAGGGGAAGAGGAGAAGAGAGATGAGTAGTTTTTTCCATTGCAGGATTTTTCCAGTTCCAACCAATTTATTGGGAAAATTCAGCCAAGTGGGCCAAACCCAGCAGTGATCAGCGACAGCGCAGAGCTGCCCACTGAGCTGGACAGGCTGCGGGAGCGAGATGGGACAACACCTGGGTGTCATATGGGCCATGATCTTCATCCCTCTTCTCTATTTCTGACTCCCCATCACAGAATCGTAGAATGGCTTGTGTTGGGAGGGACCACAAGGATCATCAAGTTCCAACCCCCATGCCACAGGCAGGGCCACCAACCTCCATTGGTAATACTAGACCAGGTTGTCCAGGGCCCCATCCAACCTGGCCTTGAACACCTCCAGGGACGGAGCATGCACAGCCTCTCTCGTTCAGTTACTTTTGTGCAGTTACACATCTGCTCCTCTGTCCTTCCCCTCCAGGTAAGGGACACTTTCTGCATGCATCCCAAGTGCTCAGCTGGGTGGTGCTTGCCCTGCTTTGTTGCAGTAGCTCACTTGAAGTGTTGCCAGGTAATATCCTGATATGCATCTTTCTGGGAGGTAGCTTTCCCTGTTCATATTTTCCTCTGGATTTTTGCTCTTCTGAAGCTTTTGCCCTTAGCCCTCATGCAAATGGCCTGGAAGTGGTCATCTCTCATTGAAGCAAGGGTATTTTCTCTGTCTGTGTTGGCTAGGATTCAAGTTATTGATCCAGGTTAACAAAAACCCTAAAAAAAACTTCTGACATCACTGGCTTCACAGGGATTTGATCTCTTTTATGTGTTTCTCTCTTTTCTCTAATACGTGCACTGTAATATTTCTTAAGTAGCCTGGCATTTTGTTGTTAGGACAACTCGGTGCAGCACTCAATCCTGACGGATACCCTTTACCTCATGCCATTGTCCCAGAGCATACGTGTGATTTTGGAGCGAGGTTCCATCCCTCTGGGGTACATCTGTGCAGCTGCATGCATGCAAACGCAAGCTCTCCTTCCTGCAGCACCCAGGTACACCTGCAAGGCATTTCCAGATGTTACGCAGACCTGTTTGAGCAGTGTGTTGCCCATCTTTGCTAGATGATGCACAGTACAGCAGGCTGTACAGCTGGTGCTGCTGTATGCTGACCAGAGTTTATGTATTCCCAGCCAGCTGCAGGAACAGGGCACAGATTTGGTATATTTGTATGTGGATTGCATAAGCTCTTGGAGAGTTTCAGTGTTACTAGAGGATGAGACAGTGCATCTTCTGCACGCTTCTGCCACTCTGTTGGTAATTCCAGGTGCCGCACTGCATCCCTTATGCCAGAAATTAATTCTTCTGAAATTGAGCAGTTCTAGGAAATGACATCAGCACTTTATAAACCAGATAAATTAAAATTGCTTCTGATTTCAGGTTTTTTTTTTTAAATTGATTTCCAGCAAAAATAAGGATTTAATAGACATAGTCTCCTTTTTGTGACTGGATTCTGAATACTACTCCTAATTGCATCCACACGTAGCAGTTCTTTTTCTCTGTGGTCCTGTATTCCCTGTACAGTACCCATGATAAGCTTATAGTAATATGTCTTCCAAGCTGTCTCGTCCATTATGTTTCATTAATCTCTTTTTTTGCATTGATTGCTACATTTAATTTACAGAAAGGAAATGTAGCACATCGTTTTCCTTTCTCTTAATTCAGTTCTTCCAGAAAAAAAGAAAAAAAAAAAATTAAAAAGGTATTTGAGCTTTGGGATTTTGGAGGTTTTAAAGACTAACTTCTTGCTGGCTGTTGGTGCAAATCTGAACAGTGTTTCTGTGTACTTATTGGGAGCTTTCTGTTTTGGGACTGGTACTACATTCTCAGTTAAAAGGCTTTTTTTTATTCGTGGTCTGTGAAAATGAGATGCCTATGGCAAGCACAAACTCTCCTGGATAAGCATCATCCTTTGTTGCGGAACCCAGTTATTTTCAGTAGGTTTTTTGGCACATGAGACAAAATACTTCTTTCTGCCAACAGCCAAAGGGTGTGGGGTGGCACCTTCGGATTTATTACGTGTCCTGCTAGCTTCCGGCTGATAAGCAGATGCCTTGAGGTGGGGCCAGGGACAATGCCGAGATAGGGATCCGAATATCCTCCCTCCTCCCAGCAGCAGTGGGGCAAAGGAATTGGCATCTTATCTAGGTACTGTCTGTGAGCAGCGGGACGCCCATCTCCCCTTTGGGATTGGGGCAGTGTTTTCTTTCCTCGCAGCGTGTCCCAGCCTTCCTTTGCAATGGTGTGTGGGTGAGGAAGGGTGGCCAGTGGGCAGGGAAGGAGAGGCAGCAGGGAGGGCTGACTGAAAAAGCACCCAAAATAGGCAAACGGGGAGGGGATAAGAAGGTGGACAGAAGAATGGAAAGGCAGAGAGACATTAGAAGGGCAGAAACAGAAGAAGAGAGGAAAAGAAGCATCCAAGTGTGTAGTGAGACAAAAAAAAAAAAAAAAAAAAAAAAAAGTTTTATTAAAAAATAGAATTAAGAACTGGAAGAGTGGCCTGCAGTTCCAAAACTCACCATGTGAGCCAGCTGGTGTTGCATTGCAGTTTGATACTGCAAGTTTTCAAGGTGCATCAGAGATGCTATTTTTGAGGCAGTGATTTGAAGGGAGTGTACGTGGCAGCCCAGTCTTGCACCAAACTTGATCTCCAACTTGTAAACTAGAGTTAACTCCTCAGTTTAATGTCTTTAACAGACAGCATTTCTATCTGTTGGCAATCCCTGCTGTTCTTCTGCTGTTCTTTCTTCTTACAGCAGCTGATTTCTTGTACACCTTAAGCAGTGTTTCAACTCTACCTTTCTTCCATTCCCCCACCTTTCTTCCTTTGTTACTGTTCAGATGCTCCTGTCACCTCCCATAGATTTAAGTGAACTTTGTACTTGAAAGTAAAGAAATTAAATATCTGAATTCTAAATCTCTGGGAAAGCTTGAAAGATTTCCCAGAGAAAATGCTGGAGGCTGGAGATGTCTTCTTCCCTAACAGCAAGTACTGCTCTCGCAGCAGCAAAGGAAACGTACAGATCCTTTTCCCACAGATGCAGTCCAACTCCCAGCAATGCTTTTGTCTCACAAAGGAAATTGTTCCTTCTTCATTTTGTCTGTTGTAATTCCTCTACATGTTGATGGCTTCTCTTCTACTATTCTGGCTTTTCCATATGGTTCCAAGCTATTCTTATTTTACTCTGTGTCAGTCATCGCAGTCCATGGTCTGTAGATAATGCTCAGTGCTGTTTAGTTGTTGGCTAAATTGCTTATCTTTAATTCTTCTTTTCTTTTTAATTTTTCTCAACTTGGTAAAGGTTTGTTGTCTTTCTAGGATCTCTACTGACTTATTTTTCAAGGAAGCAATTCTTGCACAGTCTTCTAATTCTGTGCCCTGCTTCTAGACCAACTGCTTTAAGTTTTTCACGCTAGTAATTTGCTCTTTCTTTAGAAGGTGTCTGTTATTTTTGTCATGTTGTTTCTTTTAACATTTATAATTGCAGAATCTTATTGTAGCATGCTTCCCAAACACATTTACTTCTTTAATACGCTCGAAGAACATGGGACCTTGAGGGGGAAAAAAAACCAAAAAACAGAGTAGTTTAAAACAAAGAAACATTGTCAATTTTGAAAGGTATTTGAAAACTTCTGAAATTCCTTGAAAAGAATGTTTTTAATTGGCAGTTCCTTATACAGTGTCAGTGTTCTGACAATGATATTCAGTCAACCTGCCAACCTTAAATTAAATACCAGGTCAGGTCATTATCTGCCATTAGGAACTGGTGTTCTCGATGTTACCTTTTGTTACCTAAAATTGTGGTGTCGAAGGCAATGCCTCTGATTTCATCTTGCTGTATTAAATTTAAATTAAAAAAAAAAAGATTATATGATCTAATATAGGCACTCAGTTACCAACAGTCATCAGCTGAGGCTGTTCTGACACGTCCAGCACCCTGTTGGGTTTCCTGCTTGTTGTGAGCTGACCTTGCTCTCTGGCTCCTTGGGGTGCTTTGGAAGGCATATAGGGTTGAGGTGCCGCTGCAGTGTCCCTCTCCCTTTCTCTGCCACCTCTTCCAATGGTCTGTGCCCTTTGGCTGCTCTTAGCCCAGCAAGGAGCACCTTGACCAGACCACCTTTGGATTTTCCAGCACCATCATGAGGGACTTCGGGTCGTGTTCCCACATGAGAAAAAGATGCTGATGCACTTTGAGGCAGTGTTAGATCCTCTTTAGAACCACTGCTGTCCCTGCATTACTGTTCTTCCCTTTATCTTCCGCTTGCTCTTTACCCCATCCTGATGTCAGTGTGCCCCTCTGCTTCATACAGCTGCCTCCCTCAGATCACAGAGCCCAATGTGTTACCGTAAATGGGAGCAGGAGAAATACTGCAGAGAGTTCTGAGTGTTTTTGCCCAGCTGAAGAACTGCCTGGTCCCGGGTCCTGGTTTGGCTGAGGAGAGCAGATCGCCATCCATCTGGCTCAAGCTGAGCCATCTGGGGAAAGAGTTGACATTCCAAAGACCAGCAAGAGTTAGTGGAGAGGAGCCCGGGGAAGTCATGGTGGTCAAGTGAAACGGAGGAGTCCTGCAGCATCCTACTGATGTCCTGCTGACGCAGACCGCTTCTGCAGCAAGCAAGCAGCCCGTGCTAAAATAGAAACTTCTTTGTGCCTTTGTCATAGAAAGTCTTTCTCTGTATCGGCAAAGCTGCATGGAAGTCTGATGATTACAGAGGAACTGAAGGTTAGAAAAGAGTAGCAGACGCACACACAAAAAAGCCAAAAAGCTCCTACAGTGGGAATTGTAGGGATGGTAGAGATATAGAGGCGAAGAAAGGAAATGGCCGTACAGCCTCCGTGTTAGCAGTGTGGGTCTGGAATCTGCAGGTCTGAGGATGAGTTTGGTGTACTTCAGAGACAGGCAATGAGCCATTGGACCCAACCCCAGGCCTCTGTTATTCAGGATTCTGGCACCTTGGTACAACGTTTGGGATCCTTTTTGTTTAGGTAATGTCAGAGTGTATCAGTGGTCTGTAATTACAATCAGCATTTTTCCCTGTTGTGCAATGTTTTAAAGCAGTTGCTCTATATGTATTTTTTCTCCTGGCATGTTTCAGCCTTCTCTTTTTCATCACTTTTATATGCGTGCATACATACATAGGAAAAAAATGTTCATATAAGTCTGAACAAGTGTAGATAGCACACGATATGGGACTTAAAAGTGAGCAAATACAATGCAGCTACATGCTTTGAAAATACTACTCTAGCTTTTATGGACCTTGTTTAATTTCATTGTATATTTGTATTGAACTTGTGAGTCAGGATTATTCCTGGGATCTGCTTCACAATTTGACACTTGCTATTTGATCTTCCTCAGGTCACTTACTCTTTCTGAGCCATAATTTACCTACATCATCATCGTAATTGTAATTATAATAATTAGCTACTCCGTAAAACATTATGGGACCAATTTACAAGTAATGTTCATGAGCCGCTCTGAGAAACCCAGCGGAGGGATGCCATAAAAATATCAAGTGTAATTATTATTATTATTTTATTTAAAGTGTACGTCGCTCACAAACACTCCTGATTCAGGGCGCCGCAGCGAGGCAGCAGTGTGGGAGGTGCTCCTGCTGCACCCCTGCTTGCTGAGCATCGCATCTCAGGGGAGATGTTCCTGCTCCCATCGGAGGCGGTGGCAGATACAAAGGCGTAAGCAGGGTGCAGGGATCACCTCTTTGTGTTGTGTGGTGTCAGACAAGGAGCAGCAAAGTTCTCTGAGCTGGGAGCTCAGTGCTGGTGGCTGCTGCCTTCCTGGAGAGACTGGAGCTCCCAGTTTCTGTTGCTGGCCAGACCCGTTCAAAGCTGCTGAACGCCGGCATCAGCACCTGTATCCCACTTTGTGTTACAGAGAGCTGGGAGCCTGGGGAAAATCATTATGACTCAAGTTATAAGGAAGAGCACATGTGCTTTTTAGAGTTAGGCTGACACTCAGCGCAGTGAGCAGCCACTGCTGAGGCCAGGCTCTGCCTTTATTGTGACAGGAGCTTCCAGCAGAGCTCCCTGCGTGTGTATCGGATGGCATCAGTATAAAGATAAACTCATGAGTGGACTGGGTGAAATCTTCTTCCTCACTTACTTAACGATTTGCATTTTTATCATAACGCAGCTTTGTTCTCTGAAGTGTTCATTTTTATTTCATTCTTGTGGCGCATGAACATAAGACAGTACTAACCTTAATGCTGTGTGTTCCTACAGATGAGGATGAGGATGATGATAATATTGAGATAGATACTAACGAGGAGGTTCCTGAATGCTCTGTTACTGGAGGTGGAGATGAGCTTACTAACCTAGAAAATGACCTTGATTCAACGGGTAATTTAAATAATGGCTATTTTGTGTATTTTGCATGACTAACACTGTCATCGTAAGTAGTGATGTGCTGCTTCTCTCTGTCATAACTTTATTTCTTTGTGCCTTTTCACGTCTTTCAAACCCTAATGTTTGTTCTCCTTGGATATTTTGCATTCACGTTTGGTTGAAATTTAAGATCAGGGACAAGATTATTATTTCCAGTAATGGCAACTTAAACATCTTCTCCTTTTTGATGGGGAAAGGGTTTCAGTCTAGATCTGTTAAATGGGAGCAAATGTGTCTTTGTGTTTGGAACAGAACTCCTATTTAATTTTTAAGTTGAAGCAATACTGTTTTCAGAAACACATTTTGAAATCATTCATACTCTAGTAGAGGTGCTTGTATTGTCCATCATATTGCATGCTGGTCCAATAAGAACAAATCATTTTAGTGGTATTTCTACCTCCTAAACTTGTAAACCAGCCAAAATGGAGCTGAGGTTCCTCCTCCACTGATGATAAACATGTCAGAGTTGTACAAGGAAACACTGGCATTTTGTGCTCTGTACATCTGCTGGCTACCAGTGGTCCCAGGGAATGCTGAGGGCCTCTTCGCAGTGTGGTCTGACTCTCAGCCCACCACCAGCTCCTGTGAGCTTCGGCAGCCCAGAGGAGTGACAAGCACTGGACAGCATCAGGAGCCAGGGAGTGGAAGCCGCTGACTTGGTTCAACCTATGTCAGCTGGACCCAAGTGTGTAACCCATGACATATTCAATCAAAACACTTCATTTAGTGTTTGCTCTTTGTTTTCTTTTTGTCTTTCTCTTTTTTTTTTATCATTGCATCAGCAATGATAGTCGTTCCCTTCAGTTGCATTAGCAAGCTGGTCTTTTCTTGAGTGCGGAAGGTGTAAGTCCTGTCTTTTATTTTTTTGTATGAGGATATCCTAGGACATAGGAAAATATATTTAGTGTTTCCAACATTTGACTTCAGCTGATTTAGAGTAGCATCCTATAAAATAATTTTCCAATAAATTCGTTTTAGGAGACATAGAAAATTGGTGAATGAATATTCCTGTCACATAGCCCCAAGGACTTGCCCACGCTTATTTCTGTGGGTCTTTATTTCCTTAGAGATACCTTCTCAGGAATACAAAACACTACACAAACTTTCATTTCCACCATGGGAAGACATTATGAAGAGAAAGCTGAGACATGGTTTTGCAGGTCAGTCTGCACATTAGCCAGATGGACAAGCAGCGATGTTCAAACGACTAAGGAAGAAGGCGATCAGCAATTCAGAAAGCAGCCTGGTGCTGTGATAGAAATCAGTGCACACAGATTTTGGTGGAATTCTGCCAATTCATACCAAGTTCTAACGAAGGCCAAATCCCTTGGGAGCAGCTAGATTCAGAACTGTGAGGGACATTTCACATTTGGGGTCATTGTTGACTGTTAATTAATTTGTCCCCTGCTGGATCTTAGTCCCTCCTGTCTTTCTCAAGAAAACTTTGGGTTTTTGTGTGTGTGTGTGTGTTGTTTTGTTTGTTTGTTTTTACTGCAGGTTGTTGGTTTTAAATATTGCATCTGTCTGTGTTTGTCAGCGCTGCTACCATACGCCACTCTGAATGTATCTGATAAAATGTGAACCTCTTCTGTCATAGTTATTACATGATGTTTATGTATAAAACCATGAGAATGTGCGTGTACTTACATGTGAGCCTCAATTAAGGGCACCCTGGCTGGGTGTGCCAGAGGAAAGGGAAACCATCCTTTGTCATCACCCAGCCCAGCCCGCTGCTGCTGCAGGCAGGCATCATTTGGGTTCTAGCATGCCAAAAATACTTGGGCTAACATGAATCAAACCTTGGAAGGCAAAACACTTATGGCCCCACTTCCCTCACTAGCAAGCAGGGAAAACTCTGTAGGAAAGCACTGTGTGTGTAAGTGTGCTGTACGTTTGCACAGGCAACCTGCATATAGAGGTTGAGCATTATTGGGAAGTAAAATTCTCAGCCGTCGCTTATTTGGGCTCTGATTTGTGTTCCTAAAACTGATGGGAAAGTTCTGTAGGGTCCAGCAGGTTCTCAATCTGTCTTTTCAGTGCAGTTCTGACGTGTCTCACTGGCATCGACGTGTTCTATAAATCACTGTAAAATATTACTAGAAAGCTGGCTCTTTTGATTCTGCAATTGTAACGTTTAGAAGCTGTGCCAAGGAGCCTTAGGATGAATGAGTAGTTCATAAACTTGAGGGGTTATCAGTACTTACAGTGTGTGATAAATTGTTATATGTCATCTGAAAATAAATGTCTCTTTAAGAGTGTTTTAATTCCAAATTATAAGTAGGAATGGGAGTAACTGGGCCTAAACATTATCTGGTTTCTGTGTTTCTCACCTGCTCTCTTCAGGCTGTGTGTACTTGCTTAGATGAGTGCTGTATTTTTTATGTATGGTTTTGTGTTTGTTTTTTTTTTTTTTAAAGGAAATATCTAAATGTAATTATGCATTACACAAATCTACACCAATCTGAATTGCAAAATAATAATAATAATAATCCTTCTAGTTTCTACTATTTAGTTGGAAATTGTAGTTAAGTGAATGAAATCTACCTTTTAAATTGGTACATTGTTGTGCCGACTCTGCATTTAAATGCATCTCACTCTGTTGTATGTGGTATTTGCATATTTAGCAGAACAAAACAGTAAGTTGGTGGATTTGAAGCTGAAGAAGACCCTAGAAACTCAGCCACAGGTGGCAAATTCACTCTCCAGCGCTGCTCAGAAAGCTGTAACTGATAGCTCCGAGCAAGATGTTAAGGTAAGTTTTGATTCACTCTTTTGTCTCAGTACCTTTGTGTTTTGAGTTCTGTTTGTGCCTCGTGATGGGGAAAATGATTTCTTACCAAATCCTTAATGGCAAGGAATGCAGAGAGTCTTTGTGGCATGGCGCTCGTGTAGGTTGCAGTGCACCGGGGTGCTTTTTTTTCTGTTGGTTAAGCAGCACATTTTTGTCTCTTTTTGCGTCTCGATGCTTGTAATCGGCATAACAGCAGCAGGCAGAGGCATCACCTCCAAGTTGGCAGTGCTGGGGCTGCCACTTGGATAAGGAGTGCAGCGTGGGCTGCACCCTGCATGCAGCGCTCAGCTTCGGGAGCAGCTCTGGGCGCAGCGCTTTGCTTCCCTTCACAGCCTGGCCCTCTCTTTTCTGCTGCACTAAAACTAAGCTGCGTTCCTTTTTAAAGCCATACATACTTGGGTACTTGACAACGAGCGCTCCTGAGAAAAAAAGAAACCAGTATGTGGTGCGTGTGGTTGTTTTGCCCATTCCAAACGTTCAGCCCTTCAGCAAAAAGCACGCACCACTCAATTTTCCGTTTCATTTTCTTAATTATGTTCTTACTATTATTTTTTGTTTTAAAAAAGCAGTCCCTGTATGTCATGAATATCCCTATGGCTCTGGGGCACTTCCAGTTGGGTATAACTTTTCACCCACCTGCAGTCTGTGGGGAAAGCGCTGCTGACTGAAAGGATTTCCTTCCCCAGATACAGAGATGCTTTGAAGTCCCAAAACAATGACTTTCATTGCTTTTCCCTTACACTGTCGGTTCCTATAAATTGGTGATGAAAGTGTGTGGCAGCAGCAGAGGACTTTCGGTCTCTATCTTTGAACAAAAGGAAGCCTGGATCAAGTCTGATTTTTGCGTTCAATTTAGCTTTCTGCAGTGGATTTAATGCAAAATGAAGCTGGCCCAAGAATAATACAATGGATTGAAAAGGCTAACTGAATTAGTGGGCTTAGAGGAATACATTTGTAAAGTGGCAGAAGTCCCTAGTCATAAAAAGGTTTCTTAAAATGGGATTTACTGGCTAATCACACCGATGTTTTAGCATGTTGCCAGGCCTAAAAAATTAGTCGTGTTTGTTTATTTTGGTAAAGACTCGAGTTTAGGCTGTCGGCTCGTTATCGTGCTGCTAACAGGAAACCACATTCTGTTTAGCCAGCATCATAACCGCCCGCCTGGTGCAGCCGACGAGCCCTCCGTCCAGTAGGAGCAACACTTTTAAGCTTAATTCCCCAAATTGAGGCTGGGGCCGCCTCCATTAGGGGAATGCAGCACCACCTCGTTGATGAAAAAGGGGTTTCTCTTCTCTAAACGGCTCCTGCCGCCGAGCCGGGTTTTTAAGGTGCTCCCACAAAAGGTGCGACTTAACAGTTTATCTTGAAGGAAGAGTTTGAAAGCGGCTTTATAAGGAATATATGGTGTCCATCTGTTCTCTGGGAGCTCTCGGCATTGAGTCGGATTTGTTTTTTAATAAAATGCAGTTTACACGTTTATAAATGAGGCATTCTGTGTTTGTGGAAAAGGATAAACTGTTACCTTCCCTGGAGGATTGTGTATCCCCGGCCTCCTTGAGGCTAGAGAATAGGCCATTGGAGAACTCCCTCATTACCGATTGTCTCAATGCAGAGGAAGGGCAAAGTCTTGGTAGCTTTTGATAACCAGTTTCAGCATTCAGCAGGCTTAGCTATTAGTCATGCATCTTAGCCTTTCCCTATTTACTTTCAAAACACTTAATAAAAATAATAAAAGATTAGGTATAAAATGAAATATTTGTTTGGTACACAGCACCTCGGTATCTGCAGCTTCCACACACTGCGGTGGTTCAGTCTTCTGGGATATTTCACGTCGACAGAACCATTTGAATTTGTTACCAGTATTAACATAGGAAGCCCTGGAAAAAGATAATTGTAGTTTCCTTAGCTGTAAAGGGCTTACTTACAAATCTGGCTTTGGAAAGTTATAGCTGATGAAATGCAGTTCAGTGGGGTAGTATTATAATCCTACCTTTTAGCCTTCATCCAGCATTAGTGGTTTATCTCAATGGGCATAAAATTAGAAACTAGTTCTTCTTGTCGTACAAGGCTGGGGAACTGTAGGAAGCAGACAATTCCTTCCCGGCTGGCGGCATGGCACGGCACGGCTCTGGGCTGCGGCACGGCCGGTGCGGGAGGAGGGGGCCCAAAGAGCCAAAACCAGCCGCTGCCACCGCACGCTCCGCAAAAGCACGGAAACTTAGTCACTCCTGTCCTTTCTTTTTTTCTTTTCCTTTTTTTCCTTCTCCCTGCAGCTGATACTTTCGTCCTGTGCAAACTGTGGTCTGAGTTGGGAAATCCTCTCTGCACAACCTGCGTTGTGTTCCCCCAGCCAAGCGTACCTTTCGAGTTTAGTGTCTCCGCATTGTAAACAAAAGAAACTGTTGTGTGCCTTGTTTTTCTAGCAGAATGGAACAGAGGAGCATCGTGCTGAGCGATTACAAAAAGCAGCAGAACGTTTTAGAAATCCTGTTGTGTTCAGCAAGGACTCCACCGTCAGAAAAACTCAGCTCCAGTCTTTCAGTCAGTATGTGGAGAGCAGACCAGGTAGGAGAAAATATAAAGCGTGTTTTCCCATCTTATGATTTAATAATATTTAACAATAAATATATTAAAACCCGATAATGTAAGTCCCCATTTCAATACATAAATATCAAGCTTTATAATAATTTTACATGTCTTTCCCCTTTTTTCAAGAGATGAAAAGGCAGAGATCAATACAGGAAGATACAAAGAGAGGAAATGAGGAGAAGGCTGCGATAACTGAGACTCAGAGGAAGCCATCAGAAGATGAAGTGCTTAATGTATATTAATTTTTTGTCTGGTTTCATGATTGCTGATAATTCTAAACTGTATGTGGAAATAGTGCCTTTATTTGTTAAAATGAGATGTTAGGTTTTTTTAGATGTCAATCTCCAATGCATTCAAAGCAGAGTGAGAGGGGTGCACTGTTGAATTAGTCTGCAGTGTGGTGATAATTGTCAGATAAAAAAAATGAATTTTTCAGAGTTCCACAGCCCCAGCTTTCTTGAGACATTTCCATCAGGGCACTTCCCATAAAGAGATTCCAGTATTGATCTACCGGGAGGATTTTAATTATTACAATAGCAGATACCGCAGAGCTGCAGTTAGAGGGAAGAGTCACATGAGACCTGCTAGAATTTCTCAGCCAACCCATTTTGTTGGCTTGGGTTAATGGGTGTTCAACCTTTCCATTATCCAGATCAGCCGTGAATTACTAGCTGAATGATGTTTGCATTAATATAATATATATGGTAATTTCTTCACTTAATTAACGGGGAGGTTCAGCTCAGTAGGGGTATGGGCTGATCATGTGTAAAATTGATTTGTGAGGGAAATATTTGATAGACCGCAGGGAGAAAGCTGGTTTTGATGGACAGCTGTGGGACAGAAGCAGGAAGAACAAGTTTTACCCTGATATTTTTTTTGTCTGAAAACACAACGCAGCCTTTGATGGTGGTCGCTCTCTCCTCTCCCCAGTTCACCTCAGTACTTGCGTTGTTTTTGCTGGAGCGGTCTGGAGCCGAGGAGAGATTTCAGACTGCTCACTCCTACCCCGAAACATCCAACTCTTCACAAACCTGACAGTTCTTTTTAGCACAGTTATACTTTTGCAGAGTTGAAGAGCTCTGGCACAGTAAGCCCGCATTACATATGCAGATGATACACAGGAACTCTAGGGATATTTCAGCCTGACACAGCATTTCTTTTCATCTTCTAATAACAATTGTTAACAATTATGCGTGCTGACATTAGGGAAGTTTTCATACTATTTTCAATTAATTATAGTTGATGAAAGGCAATATATTGCACATCGCCTCAGCTCTGCTGAGGACTGGTTTTTTTTTCCTTCAGGATCCGCTCCCCAGTAGTTTTGCTGTTGTTTCTCTGGCTGTATGTCACGTGGAAAACTGTTTCCAAAGGAACTGATGCCATTGGCTGTTGTGTAAGAGGAGAAGGACCAACTTACTGGGAGCACAACACTTAAATTCACGCACTCCAAATTTCAAACCTCAGTGCTCATTAGTGGTCCTGGAAGCCATTCTTCCAGCCCTCACTGTGATTATGTCTTTATTCGAAGTAAGAATAGGCCAACGTTATTGTTAATACACCTATCACTTGGATATGAAGCTAACACACCATTTTAGAAATGTTTACAGAAAAACAACTGACAGTGTTCAGTGAAAGTCTTTGTGGCCCTGCCACAGCAACAAGTTGGCCTCCAGTAGGGAACGACATCCTAGGAAAAAACAAACTGTTTTTTCACTTCCCAAGGGATAGTGATTTTAGTTGCATCCTTTCTTGGGTACAGATGAAGCACGAAGTTCTTTTGCCATTTCTTTTTCTCCATCCAAAATCATCTCCAAGGACTATAAGGAAGTGGATAAGCTTACTTGGAAGGAATAATATTTTCTTCCTAACGTCCCACACAGAAATATGCTTCAGGAATGACATTTCACCACTGTGTATACCTTGTAATAACTTGGTACAGCTGGGTGGTAGAAGTTGAGCCC